AACCAAGCAAAGGTAGAATAAAATTATTTAATTTAATATTATATTACTTGAGAATATTAACTTAATTCAGATATTGCTTAAGAACGTTAATGTTACAGAATTTTGCAATATGCAACAAAAGTAAATATACATTTACCTTTGACCCAATATCTCATTTTTTAAAGAAATTTACCTAGAAGACACAACTACAATAATATGAAAACACATAAATGCCCATAAATATATTTATTAAAAAAACATGTTATATCCACACAATGAGATACTGTGCTATGTAGCTGTAAAAAAGAAATATGATCTTTTTTTACCTATTAGTGAACATACGTGGTGCTTTTCAGGATATTTTGTTTAGTGCAAAAGCAAAGTTCAAAAGCACATGCGCATGCACACACACACACACACACACACACACACACACACACACACTGCTAACTTTTTGTGTAAGAAGGAGAAATAAGAAAATATACACGTAACTGCTTACTTTTTTATAAAAAGAAGTGCAGGAAGAAATAAACTAGAGTCTAATGTGATGGGCTGCCCATAGGAGGTAGGCAGGAAGAAGTAAAAGGGATTGGAATGTTGGAATGAAATTGACACTTTTCATAATTATGACTTCCTTCTTCAGCAGTGAGAGACCTGGCTCCCATTATCCTCAATATATTTACTCATTTGCTTAATCCTACACTACATACGAAGTAGTTTCAGAGTTGCCAATCCATACCACTCCAAAAACACAAAAACCCTTTTAACTAGTGCATCATCATAATTTTGAAACTGCTAATGATTTATGTAGTCAAAAAATTAATAAAGTCAACAGTCAAGAGGTGGGAAAAAAAACCTAAAAGTACAAGCAGAAACAAATAAACTTAATTATACTTCAAATAAAAACCATAACCACATTGAAGAGGGGAAGAAAGGACTAACCTAACATTTGAACACAATATTTATACTATATTCAACTATATGATAAACTAACTGTACTTGTCTGTTTTGGACAAAAAGAATGACAAATACCGATCATTAGTTCAAAAGAATTTTTGTTTTTTTGGAGGGGTATGAATTAGCAATTCTGAAACTACTTTGTATGTAGTATAGGACTGAGCAAATGAGAAGTATATTGAGGATAGTGGGAGACAGGTCTCTCACTGTTGAAGAAGGAAGTCATAATTATGGAAAGGGGAAAAATAGAATGAATTCTGTTATGCTAAAATGCATTGGGATAATCAGCATGAGCTATGTTTTCACATATGGATTTATTAATAGATGCGTATATTATGTACATTTCTTTTTTGGCTCAACCAGAACGGCCAAAAGCAAAGACACCCTAACACCAATGAGCACAGCTAGTACCCAGATCTTGGCTTCTCCATTAAAAGGATTCAGGGAAGCAGGGCTTGTTGCTGTGCCAGAAAACAAGAAAGTGCTTTAAAAAAATGGTGGAAGCATATCAAAATGACATAGACGCCAACTTGAATACCAAGTAATAAGTGTAGGTGGAATGATGGAGCCAGAAAGTCACCATTTTACATCCATAATTATCACTGGACTCTAAAAAACTGTGGCTGAATGTTCAATGAAAAAAGATATCTATATAATCTCCAAGTACTCCATTATACATTACTTATTACAAAGGGAATAAGTCACTTTACTGTAGATTAACCTCATGAACTCCACCGTAATCCACGAGATAAGGTTAACATCATTAATAAACAGAACAAATTGACATCACAACTTTCTGATATGATGTCCTGAAAAGGACATAACATCTTTTCTGCAGTATTCCAGCCAGTCACAAACAAGTCTAATTACGAGACTACACTAGACAAACACAAATAAGGGATAGTCTAAAAATAATCATTCTGAAAGACAAAGAAAAGCCAAGAAACCATTCCACATTAAAGAAGATTAAATATATATGACAACTAAATGATCCTAGGTTAGACCCTACACCAGTTGACTGAGTCAAATATCACTATAAAGAACATTATTAGGAGCCAGGCTCGGTGGCTCAGCCGGTAATCCCGCGCCTTTGGGAGGCTGAGGTGAGTGGATTGCCTGACCCCGTGGGTTCGAGACCTGCCTGGGCAATTTGGCGAGACCTCATCTCTACAATAAATCAAAAAATCAGTCAGGCGTGGTAGCACGTGCCTGTAATTCTGGCTACTCAGAAGGCTGAGGCGGAAGGATCGCTAGAGCCCAGCAGGCGAGGCTGTGGTGGCCAGGAGCGGCCACTGCACTCCAGTCTGGGCGACCGAGTGAGACTCCAACTCAAAACAAACAAACAAACAAAAAACAAAAACAAAAACAAGAACATTATTAGGGCCAGTGCAGTGGCTCATGCCTGTAACCTCAGCATTTTCGGAGGCTGAGGTGGGTGGACTGCCTGAATCCAAGAGTTCAAAACCAGCCTGGACAACATAGTGAAACCTTGTCTCTACAGAAAATAAATAAAAATTTAAAAACTAGCTGGGCATGGTGGTATGTGCCTGTAGTCCCAGCTACCTGGGATGCTGAGGTGGAAGGAATGTCTGAGCCAGGAGGTCGAGGCTGCCATGACTGTAATTGCCGTGATCATGCCACTGCACTCCAGCATGGGCAACAGAGTAAGACATCAACTCAGAAAAAAAAAAGAAAAGAACATCATTAGGACAAATGGTGAAATTTGAGTATCAACTTATGAACTATGGGTTAGATCAAAGTTCCCCAAATTTCTTTGTTCATAGTACCTTTAGTGTCTCAATAATTATTTTCACTGTGCCTCTTGGCCAAAAGAAATATCTAGGTTTAAACAACTTATTATACTCTAATAATTCAGTGACCATTTGAAAAAACAATACATGTAAACTGAAAGCAAAATAATATTCATTCTTAAATAACTGCAATTACTTACTAAAAGGTTGTGTGTACCTATGGGCATACACATCTCAAACCCTGGAATCAGATTGGACAGGATACTCTCTTTTCCTGTTCTACACTGATTTTTTGCACTGTACTTGTATCACAATCACCTGGAAAAACCAGTCCTCAAGATAAGACATATCCAAGGAATATGGCGCCATCTGTTGTTGAAACTTTAAACAACCTCAAGCTGGTAGTTTTGTAGACTTGTTTGGACTTCATTTTGTCTTGAAAATTTAGAATGCAAAATACCCCACAGATATCCCCATGTGAATTCACTGTGGGGCGGTGGGGCAACTCAGAGCACAGTTTGAAAACCACAGAATTGTATGATAGTGCTGGAGAAATGTTTCATTTCTTAATTTTGATAAATATACTGTTGCTATATCAAAGAAAGTCCTTATTCTCAGGAAACACACATTGAAGTATTTATGGATAAAGAAATGTCTGCAAATTAACCTTATTCAGAAAAAAGTGCGTGTATAGGCACATGCAGAGAGTGAGCATAACTGACATAGTAAATGGGGCCAAAGTGTTAACAATTGATGAATCTGAATAAAGGGTATACTAGATTTTTTAATGCTGTTCTTGCAACTTTTCTGTGTGAGATTATTTCAAGATAAAATGTTGAAAGATAAAATGCCACACTATATTTTGCGGTACATATACATATGTATAAAGGAAAGGAAAAGATGCTATCCATATTAAAATGTCAAAAACATCATTAGGAATAGATGGCAATATATTTTAATCTCTGGTGTTTCACTGCTTAGTCTCAACAGTATCATACCCACAGCTAATCGTCTTCAGAAGTTGAGGATTGACATTCTGCAATTACTCTTCCACAATACCAGTTCTATTACAGGGCCAAAGGTAAACTATTGAAGAGATTAGATGTTCAGTGATTTGATTTACTACATCATACTGAGAAGTCAGCATCCCGCTTTGTGAAGAATCACAGTATCAACCCAATGCTTTTCAGCTTTAAACTATCAAAATTCGAACTAGGACTTAATATTTCATATTTGAAAAGAATTTTAGATACTCCATTGAATGATAGTATTTGTTGATTATAAAAACAATCCAGAATAAGTTTTCTTTTTTTAAAAAAAAAAGCATTTGTTTAAAAATTAAATTTCTAAATTAAAATGTTTGAAAATCTCACTCAAAATAACTACTATGAAATGTTGAGCTTTTTATCCATTGTCTCTCTGTAAATGTATTTCTTTTAAGATATTTACAGCTATGTGAGAACCCAAGCAATGATACCTTTCTCTTTGCAATTTAGTGGGAAATGGGCGGCCATTCCTTTTTCAGGGCACTAAATCCTCACCGTCAAGGTCTCCTCATCTTCTGTAACTGAAGATGCTGACTCGAAAAACTACCGTTCCTGTCAATGACTTTTATGCAAACAGCTGTTTTTCTAGAAAAGCGGTCATCTTAGGACTCGCCCTTAGGCCGTGCGATGGCAGGAGCAAAGGCGGGCGCGGCTACCGTCACACGCCGGGACAGGTGGCGACAGCGCCACCAACACGACGGGGCCCGAGCCTTCGTCCCACAGGTGAGTCGACAAATCCGAGTCCACCAGAGCCCTGTCATCCAGGAGCGGAGACGGAACCCACGCCCTCGCTGGACTCCAGACGGACAGCTCCATTTTCATGATGGGAGCGAGACTCTGGGCGCCTCCCGTCTTGCCTGAGGCCCCCCTCCGGGACCGGGGCTCCGACTCCCCACTTTCCCGCCCTAGACTTCCCCTCAGGGAGCTCGAGCGCCGGGAACAGACAACTGGAGGGCGGGGGCGGCCGACGGGCCCCAGGGCCGAAGGAGAGTCCAGGAAAAAACCCCGAAGTGGACCGTAGTGTGGCTGGGCGTGAAGTAACGCGTCATTCCAGCTGCTACCAGGCCTGCCCAGCAAGCCCACACACTCCTCCCACTCGGCTGCGGGCGCGACAAGCGCCTCCTGTCCTGTGTCCCCGAAAGCAAGGCCGCCCTCGCCACGAAGCGTAACCTCGGCGGCTCCAGAGACCGGGTACCGGAGCGTCGTCTCTAGGGCCCGGCGATGACGTCAGCCGCCCGGTCTAGCATCGCGAGACTCTCGCCTCCCTCCCGCGGCTCCCCGCGCTGCCAACAGCCCGCGCCTGCTGCCAAGCAGCGGCGGGGATGGCGAGCCGCGGAGCCCAGGCGGTGACGCGAGCAGCGGTTCCGCCATTGGACGAGAAGGCCTGAGGGACGGGCCGGGGGTGCACAAGGAGAGACCGAGGCAGGTGGCCCCGAGAGAGGCGAGGGCAATGGAGGCCAACATGCCGAAGCGGAAGGAGCCTGGCAAGTCCCTCCGCATCAAAGTCATCTCCATGGGCAACGCCGAAGTGGGGAAAGTGAGTACCGCGCGCCGGAGAGGCGGGACCTCAGCGCGGCGGAGCCACGTGCCCATTGGCTGGGAGGGCGGTCACTCAACAGCCTGGAGCCCGGCCTCCTCTCCGCCCCCCTGCAGGCCCCGGTCACCTCCGAGGGGGTGCAGCTTCGCCAAGAAAGCGATATGACCTTTTTGACCTCTGGGTGGCCCCTTTCTCCACCGACGTCATTCTCTAGAAGGTTGTCCTGTAACCCCTGAATGTGCCCCCAAATGAGTAAGGAGGCCTAGGTCCTAATGCCGGGTCGTCTGCAGATACCACATCTGGTTCCAGATGGCTTGCCCAGGACCTGGCAGTGGAGGATAAAAGTTGAGCTACCCCCCGCAGTGCTCAGGGTGTGTGTGAGAATTTGGGATTTATGATATAGTGCTTGGCAGCTCGGAATCTACATTCCCATCACGAGAGAGCGTAGTTGAAGCTGACATGTTTCACAGGGGAGGTGCAATGAATGGCAAGGGGCCTGCGTTGTTGTTTTGTGTTTTATTTCTAGTAGTGTCCCCACCTCCGTTCTGTCAAAGAAGCCTTGCTCCACCACCTTTCAATCTCTGCCCCCTCTACTGGGTATCAGCTGTAAACTCGCTGTCAGTATGGGAGCAGGGAGGGCCAGAAGTGACCGCAGGCCTTTTCTCAAATGAATTCTAAGACTGCCTCCTTTTCACCCAAGTTCTCTCTCCTGGGTAAACGGAAGCTGTTGATTAAGAATCTCTTAAGGTCATTAAATCAGAGACAGAGATGAGATTGGAACCTGAGTCTTCACACTTCTACCGCAATGCTCTTTCCATCATTGTAGGTTGTCAAAATCAACTTAGAGATGTTAATGGGAGCGTTTAGGCCAGTGCCCTGTACACAAGAGTTGCTCGGTAAATGTTAGTGTTTTAAAATTTCTGTTTAGCATGATCCTGTACTACTCATGGATCTCTGTGTATGTCAGTATTAGCATAGCAGTCACTGAAAGTCGGCTATGTGCTAGGCGTTGACAAGAAATAGCCTCTAGGTTATATGCTAACCTGGCTTAGTGAGAATGTACATTTTAGTAATTTTACTGTACCCAATAGTGAAACATTAGAAGCTGCTCGATATACCCAGTGTCACAACATTTATTTAACATTATTCTAGATTGATTAGCCAATGCAATTAGACAAGAGAAAGAAATAAAATATTAGACAAGAGAAGGCAAAATTATCATTATTTACTAGTAATGCAATTGTTTACCTAAACAATTGAAACATAAAGAGAATTAACTGGAAAACTATTAGAAACAATAAGAAAATTCAATCATGCAAAATTACACATAAATGTATAGCTTTATTATGTCCAAATTATATTCAGTTAGAATATATCATTGAAAAACAATTTTTAAGTTATAATAACAACCAAAATAAAATGCCTAGGTTTAAACTTAAGTTGAAATAGGTAGAAGCTATATGAAGAAAAATTTCAAACTTTATGAAGGGACATAAAATTACTCAGGCAAATGGAAAGATATATTTTTCCCTTAGATAGGATAACTCAGTACTGTAGAGATGTCAGTTATTTAAAATAATCTACAAATGTAATTCTCTTCCAGTTAAAACACCAATAAGATTTTTTCCAGAACATAATAAAAAGTTACTAAAGTCCTTTTGAAAAATTAATATGAGAATAACCAAAAATAATAATAATAATAATAGTGGGGGAAAAAAGGAAATGAAAAAAGACTAACTCTTCCACATATTTAAAGTTGTCTTTAAGGTACCAAACTTTTCCTATTGGTACTGGAAAAGAAATAGTGAGACATCAGTAGAACAGAATAGAGTCCAGAAATAAACCCAGACACATAAGGAAATTCAATGTACAACAAACATAAAAATCTTGGGGAAGTAAAGACCATTTAGTAAGTACTGTTGGAACAACTGACTACTATTTGGGATGGGGTGAATTCCTATTGGATTTCTTTCTCAAAAATAAATATTGAATGGATAAAAAATTTAAGTGTAACTTAAAAAAAAAAACATTATTTTGCCTTCGTTATAAAAGTAGCAATACTCATGTAAAAGAATTTGGAATATATAGGATGATATGCAGGTAAACAATTTCAAAATTAAGAATTAAGGAATGCCCTAGTAAATCCTTGGACCAAAGAGCAAATATAAACAAATGATGGAGTAACTGGCAAGCAATGAAAAGGAGGGAATACTTGTATATTGTGGGTTTTGATGCAACCATGAAAAGTGAATAGAGCTATTTTAGTTAACCTGGAGGGATTACCATAATCTATCACTACTGTTAAGAGAGAAAAACAAACTCCAGTAGTATATACAATACTGTATGAAGTGGGTACCTTGATTGCAAGTAAGAGAAACCCAATTCAACTGATTTAACAGGAAATTATGTAATATAACTAGAAATTTAGAAGTAAGGCAAGCATCAGGGTTGATTGATAGTAAAGGTCAATGATGTCATTAGGGACCTAGGTCCAGTCTCTCATTCCTTGTGACCACAGTATTATTGGCTTATCTTGAGGCTGACTCCAAACTGTCAAAAAATGATTTCCAGCAGCAGCTGGGGCTTCTTGTTATCCAGTGGGAAATGAGTGACTTTTCTATCCCAGAAGCCCTGAGTAAACCAAGGAACACAGTGAAAGACTTGAAAGTTTGTGCTATATGGGAAGTGGGATAGAAAATTTGTGAGAAGAGGTAAACAAAAGACTGGAAGGAGAGAGAAGGGTGCCCACAAAACAGTTTGTGTGGTATGTTTCTATCAATGTAAAATCAAACATATACATGCGGTAGGTTGAAATTGCTTTTTTATTTTATTTTTTATTATCGTTATTTTTTAAGCCTGCAGCATCTGGTATTCCCAGATGGTCTTCCATTCAAGTACTAACCAGGCCAGACCCAGATTAACTTCTGAGATCAAACAGATCAGGCATGTTCAGGGTGGTATGGCCAGAGACAAAATTGCTTTTTTTTAATTGATAGTTTTTTAACCTTAAGAATGGCAGTGTAATATAATTTAAACTTATAGATCAAGAAATGTTGAAAAGGTGGTTGTCAACCCATTACTGATAATTACTTTAGAGTGGTAGTTTTCAAGAATTTTAAAATATTTTTCTTATATATTTCTGTATTCATTTTTCCCCCACAATAAACATATATGCCCCTGTACACCTTCTTTTTGTGGATCATGGCTAGTTTTGTTTCTTTCTACTGAAGTCTCATTAGGCTCTTGAACATAGTTGTGAGAGAGAAAATAAATGCATTTCATATCAAGTGTGGCCTTACGGTGGGAACTTATCCAGTCTTAGAGTTTATCTCAGAAACCTTCAGACAGAGAAATTATTTATAAAAACCCAAGCTTCTATCCTAATTCCTTTTTTGTGAGTTGGAGTCTCACTCTGTTACCCAGGCTGGAGTGCGGTAGCACGCTCGCGGCCACCTCAGCCTTAACCTGCTGGGCTCCAGTGATCCTTCCATCTCAGCCTTCCAAGAAGCTGGAACTACAGGTGCACGCCACCATACCCGGCTAATTTTTTGATTTACTGTAGAGATAAGGTCTGGCCAAGTTGTCTAAGCTGATCTTGAACCTGTGGGCTCAGGCGATACTCTCACCTCAGCCTCCCAAAGTGCTGGGATTATAGGCGTGAGCCACCATGGCCAGCCTATCCTAAATCTTGATTTTCTATTTGGATAAAACTTGTGTAGTTTTAAAAAAACATGCTTAATAGGTTGAATAAAGCTGTAGCCATTTCTGATTATTATTTCTGAATATGTTATCTCAAGATTGACATGGTATGGAAAAAGAGACATGAGGTCGATGGTAAATGAACACATTAGGAAACTCCACATCCTAGAAGACATTGACAACTGGACTGGGGTTTTAGGGTAAGTTAGCTGTCAGAGCAGAAAGTTGAACTGAAGATAAACGGAGACCACAAAGAAATCTTGAGGTTCTCCCATAGAGAAGATTAAGCCCTTGGGAATCCCCTTTATATTTCCAAGAGATTTTTTAAAAATGAGATTTATTGAGATATAATTTGCAATAAATTATATATGTAAAGTGTACAGTTCACAGGGTTTTATTTTATTTTATTTTATTTTTTTGAATTGGAGTTTCACTCTGTCGCCCAGACTGGAGTGCAGTGGCCACTCCCGGCCACCGCAGCCTCTACCCACTGGGCTCTGGCGATCCTTCTGCCTCAGCCTTCCGAGTAGCCGGAATTACAGGCATGCGCTATCATGCCCGGCTCATTTTTGATTTATTGTAGAGATGAGGTCTCGCCAAGTTGCCCAGGCGGGTCTCGAACCCGCGGGCTCAGGCAATCCACTCACCTTAGCTTCCCAAAGGTGCAGGATTACAGGCTGAGCCACCGAGCCCGGCTTCACTGGGTTTTAATACATTCATGGAATTATGCACCTGTCTCCACAATCAATAGTAGTACATGCTCATCACCCTTCCCAAAAAACCCCATATCAATTTGCAGTCTCTCCACATTATCCCCAGCCCCCTAACCTGAGGCAACCACAAATCTAGTCTCCACCTCTATGGATTTGCCTGTTCTGGACATCTCATATAAATGGAATCATACACTATGTGGTCCTTTATGATAGGCTTTATTAGCATAATATTTTCAAGGTTCATCCATGTCGTAGCATATATCAGTACTTCATTTTGCAGAATAATTTTCCATTGTATGGATATACCACATTTTAAAAAAATGCTTTTGTCAGTTGGTAAGCATTTGAGTTGCTTTTACTTTTTGACTATGATGGATAATGCTAATATGGGCACTTGTGTACGAGTTTTTGTCTGGAAGGGATGTGTTTTTAGTCTCACTCAGATAAAGTGCCATTTTTAGTACATGTATTTCTAAGCTCATTGAAAAGTAAAATGTTAGGTTCTTATTACATTATCTCATAGCATCCTAGAACTTTTATGCCACTGATCACAAATGTAATTTAAAGACTTATTGGTGTAATTATTTAGTGCTTCCCTTTTCCAATAAACTGCAAAGACTCCATCCTGCCTTCATATCCCAGCACCTAACACAGTTTCCAGCACAGGTTACAATGTCACTATTTGTTGAATGGATGAATATATACTTTTTGTTTAGGTTCAGAAAAAGAATATTTTGTTTTTAATCTAGCAGCTCAAATACTGTTTTTGTGTTATCTGCTTACCTTTTTGGTTTATGCTTTTATTTTATCAGTTAATACCATAATGCTTATTTTTAACATTTGCATTCTGTCAGTATTCACTATCAGTAGCTTATAGTTGGAAAACTTATTTAAGTAAACCAATTTGCCTGCACAGTTAATATAAGTTAGTTTCGTTTTGTATTTACTTAATTTTATCTGTTCCCTCTTTATTTATGTTATATATCTTAGCTTGTAAGATTCTAAGAAATAGGAACTCTTGTCTCTTTGCAATATAGAAAATAGTTATTAATACTGTTATTGGCTGGGCTCGATGGCTCACCCTGTAATCCCAGCACTTTGAGAGGTCGAGGTGAGAGGATTGCCCAAGCCCGTGGGTTCGAGACCAGCCCAGACAACTTGACAAGACCTTGTCTCTGCAATAAATAAGTAAAAAATTAGCCGGACATGGTAGCGCGTGTCTGTAGTTCCTGCTACTTGGAAGGCTGAGGCAGAAGGATCGTTGGAGCCCAGCAGGTCAACGCTGGGGTGGCCATGAACGTGCCACTGTACTCCAGCCTGGGCAACAGAGTGAGACTCCAACTTAGAAAAAAATAAAAATTACTGTTATTTAATCTGAGTGCAGTGGCTCACACTTGCACTTTGGGAGGCCAAGGCAGGAGGATTGCTTGAGCCCAGGAGTTTGAGACCAGCCTAGACAACTAAGTAAGACCCCTTCTCTACAAAAAAAAATTTCTTTAAAGCCAGACTTGGTGGTGCACACCTGTAGTCCCAGCTACTCGGGAGGCTGAGGCAGAGCCCAGGAGGTCTAGGCTGCAGTGAGCTCTGGTCATGCCATTGCACTCCAACCTGGGCTACAGAGTGAGACCCCAACTCAAAAAAATAAAATAAAATAAAGAAAGGAATGAAATAAAACAAAACTGTTATTTAATTGTGTGTCTTTATAAACAGATTAGTTAGCATACCAAAGTTTCAACTAAAGGACTTCCAGGTCCCTTAGTCTCATGAATAATTTTGTAAAGAGTATATTTATTTTTCTAGGATATTATGAGAGAAAACATTTGAGAAGTGCTTTCAAGCTATACAGTGTTTTTAAAAGTGTAGCCTCCTAGCAGTGATCAGTCCAAAGAAGTTTTTCCTTCAGTTCACAAGTTTATTAAACACTTTTAAAATTAACTATACTGTCTCTTTAATTTATATTGAGGCTCATCAGAAAAGGATTGAAAAACAATAAACTCTATTACCAGCCCTTCGAGTAGATAATAAGTTTCATGAGTTCTAAGAACTATTAATATATGTCATTTAGGATGAATTTTTCATTGTCATACCAAATCAGAAGCAGTTCTAGTTTCTCTTAATCTAATTGATGCTTACTTATGTTCCTTCAGTGATTATCAAGTGCCTACTATGTGAAAGGCACTGAGGTTGTTTTGCGAAAGATATAAGGAAGTAAAATACTAATGCTTGCCCTCAAATAATTTATTGTCTGATTGAACAGATAAAGTAAATATACACATGTGAAAAGTTAACTAATGATACAAGATGGTATATGAGTAATGGCAGATATATAGTATGGGGTGTGTGTGTGTGTGTGTGTGTATAGTATACATAATAGTATACATGTAAAGTGCTACAGGAATTCAGATGCATAGTATACACCCGTTGTTCAAATGCACGCAAGATCCCTTACAACCTAGGTGCTCAGAATTTGATCTCAGCCTTAAAGGATAAGTAAAATTTGGAAGGAAGGGAGAAAGCTCATTCCAAGTAAAGGAAAAAGTAATAATAAAAGTCAGAAAGTCAAGTCCTGGAACTTTTGTGGAAATGGAGAGTTTATACAGAAGGGTTTAGACAGAGAAGACAGATTAATACCAGATGATGGAGGACCTTGAATAAAGGACAAAGGAATTTGGATTTCAAACTTTTAGCAATGAGAAGCCACTGAAAATATTTGAGTTCGAAAAGTGAAATAATGTTAGTGGTATGCAGTATTGACTGAAGTTGGGAGGAGAAGAAAGCAGAAAGACTAGTAAAGTTTCTTATGTTGTCTAGGAGTAGATGATGAGAACCTAAACGAAGTGTTATCACTGGGAGTTGGAATGAAAGGAAAGATGGAAGAAACAGTCGAAAGAAGACTTAGAAGGCTCAGAATCAAGTATGACTTCAGTAGTTTGATCTTCTGTGAATGGGAAAATGGTGGTGTTCTTAACGGAACTAGGATACCGGCAGTGGTATAGTACTTTTCATATGTAAGATTAGTTCATTCTTGGACATGTTGATTGGAGGTGACAGTGGGACATCTAAGTGGAAACTAGTCTAATAGATATTTAGAGATGTGAATCTCATCTTGGGAGTGAGGTCAAGGCTAGACAGTTATTTTGCTGTTATCACTGAAAGTATAAGAATAGAAGAGGTCTTCAAAATAAAGGAGCACAAAGACTGAGAACTAAACTGAAAACCCACCTATATTTAGTAATAAGGGATGACTTTAAAAATAAATTTCCTTAAACTCTTCACTTTTGGCATTTGTTTCAGATATTTTATAGTTTTTGGCTTTTGAAAATACCTTATTTTCCCTAGGGGTGTGAATGAAGAAGCCGTAAAGAAGGATTATATTTATTTTATATGTGTTCCCAGTGTGTATTTACTAAGTCCTGTATTTTTACCTTTTTAGAGCTGTATTATAAAGCGATACTGTGAGAAAAGATTTGTGTCTAAATACCTGGCAACAATTGGAATTGACTATGGAGTCACAAAGTAAGTATATTGTTTTTCTGGACTTGTAAACGACATACAAATTCAGGCTGGTGTGAAGATTGTGAGTCATCTCAATTGATTGTTCACAGTCAGTTACAAATTGAACTCTTTGTTCTGTTCTTTTCCTCCTTCTCACTACTACCCTTATCTAGTCTTTTAAAAAGTAAACAAAAAATTACATAGAAATCCAGAACTCTTGCTAAAATGATCTATTTTGGGACCAGGCACAATGACTCACGCTTAATGGCCCAGCACTTTGGGAGGCCAAGGCAGGAGGATCACTTGAAGCCAAGCTTTTGAGACCAGCCTATGCAACACAGTGAGACTCCATCTCTACAAAAAAAAATTTTTTTTTTTAAATTAGCCAGGCATGATGGTGTGTGTCTGTAGTTTCAGCACTTTGGGAGGCTAAGTTAAGGTAGGAGACTTGCTTGAGTCCAGGAGTTCAAGGCTTCAGTGAGCTATGATTGTGCCACTACACCCCAGCCTGGGTGACAGAACGAGACTCTGATTCTAAAAATAAAAGTGATCTATATTTGCATCAATGCACTTAAACAGGTAATCTTGAAACAGAGATTAGCCGGGCTCGGTGGCTCAGCCTGTAATCCCGCACCTTTGGGAGGCTGAGGTGAGTGGATTGCCTGAGCCCACGGGTTCGAGACCCACCTGGGCAACTTGGCGAGACCTCATCTCTACAATAAATCAAAAATTAGCCGGGTGTGGTAGCGCGCGCCTGTAGTTCCAGCTACTTGGAAGGCTGAGGCGGAAGGATCGCCGGAGCCCAGAAGGTCGAGGCTGTGGTGGCTGGGAGCGGCCACTGCACTCCAGTCTGGGCGACAGAGTGAGACTCCAACAAAAAAACAGAGATTGAGGATAAATTGGGGAGGATAGGAATAAGACCTTTACAGGTATATAGTATTCATGTTCCTTCATTCAGTCCATGTGTTGAGCGTATCCCGTTTGCCAGGCCTTATGTTAAGTGTAGGGTTTACAACAGTGAATACATCAATACAAAGCCTAACTGGCAGGTGTAACTTTTCAGGAAACATGTTTCTATATCAGCAGGTGTGTTTTTAGAGTGTTTTTGAGTATACGCTCTAAAAAATCTAAATAATATGTGGGAAAATTTTCTACCAGAGAACTTGTCTTGTTAGTTTGTGATCTATATAGCCTATTGGAATCCAGCAAAAATGATCTTGGAAGAATAAAGTTGGGTCTAATTGGGTATTTATTTGGAGGCGAATCAAGCGTGGATTGAACTTGGGGAGATAGGATTAAATTAATAGGAAATAATTAAAGTGGAAATAGAGAAAAATCGAGGTGGACAGCACACTCTCTAAACACGGAATTTCAGGTGCTCACTATTCTGGCCCCACTCAGGTTCTCGTTCCTTTGTATACATATCTCTACATTCGCAATGAACTGCTGCCCTCACACTTTTAGCCTGGTGCCATTATTCATCCTGTCCACTTGGAATGCTCTTCCTCTCATCTCTCCACCTGCCAACTGCTTCAAGGTATAAAACTCTTCTGTTCCCATAAAACCTTCTGAACATCCCCTTTATTAGTCAGTACTCTTTTTGGTTGCAAATGACAGAAATCTTAAAGTTTTGATGCTGTTTGTGGTACTTATCATAAATTGCCTTGTATCATTATTACTTGTATGTACTTAATGTCTCCTGCTGGGTTGTAAACTTCCCAAAGAAAAGTCTATTAGTATCAATTTTCTACAAGTGCCTGGCATAGTGCTTGTGCCTAGTAGGTATTCAACAAGTATTTATTATTAGGTAAGATAGGTACATCTAAAGAGGAAGTTTGCCAGATTAGAAGAGGGCAGTACTCAAGAAGGTAGGCTAAAGTGCTGGGTTATCTCTAGCAGAATGTTGATTATGTGAAGGGCAGAGTCAAGTTCAGGTGTTACTTCATGACTGTAATTAAAGTGGCCCACATAAGTGTAAAGTAAAATTCAAGTAAGAATTCTGTGTAATGTTGTTATAGCACCATTTTTCAGCTAACAACAGCAGAGTGTATTTCTGCAAGTTTTCTTTGAAAAATAAAAATTGTAGTTCTTGGCAATGAAATGAATGATGCTCTTCATTTAAAATCCACATTTCTTTCTTCCTAGTTTTCCTTTTTCCTATTTTAGGGCACATGATTTCATCAATGGTATGCTAAGACATCCTTTTTAAGGCAGTTTTGTTTTGAATTAATATAAGTAGTTAGTTTATTTAACCAAGAAATGAGAATTGCCATATTATGCCACAAGAGTGGGCTGAAATTTTTTTAGAAAAGATGGTTGTCCCACGATGAATCAGGAGAATACAATTGACAGAGACTTATTTCAAACCAACTCAAGCAAAAGAAAAAGGATATTAATCAATTCACATAATCCAATTACAAGGATGTTGCAGCTGGGCCTCAGAGATGGCTAGAACCAGGGACAGAATACAAACAGGTCAATATTTTCATTCTCATTCTCTCTCTCTCTTCCCCTTGCCTCTCCCTCCCTTTCTTTCCTTTTGTCTCCCTCTCTACCTCTCTTGCTGCCTGTTAGCTTCATGCATCTAGGTGGGCTTCCTCTACACAGCTGGCAAGTAGTTCTCAAGCTCATATTTTTAACTTTACTTCTAGAAAGGGACTAATACTAATATCCCAAGTTTAAAAAATCCCAAGGAAGGTCTTAGTTGGGCCAAGTGGGGACAGGTGCCTTTGCCCAGTTAGCTGTGGCCAGCAGAGTGGGATCAATAAGAAGATGGCAGAACCCCTATAAAGCACAATTGGGAGAAGGAAGAGGGGGGTGCCGTTTTGTTTATTTTATTTTCTTTTTGAGTTGGAGTCTCACTCTGTTGCTCAGGCTGGAGTGCAGTGGTATGGCATGCTCACGACCACTGCAACTTCAACCTGCTGGGCTCAGGTTACCCCTCTGCCTCAGCCTTCCAAGTAGCTGGAACCACAGGTGTGCACCACCATGCCTGGCTAATTTTTTTGATTTATTGTAGAGAGGAGGTCTTGCCAAATTGCCCAGGCTGGTCTCGAACCCCTCGAGTCAGGCAATCTTCTTGCCTCTCTTTCCCAAAGTGCTGGGATCACGCCCAGCTGTGCTGTTTTTTTACAGTGAAAACAATAGCTGTCTTTTTCAATCCTTTCTGCTTTCAGCATAGTAAAGCTCAAATTTTAGTGTGCATAAAATTACATGGAGCATTTATAAAAATGAAGGTGCCTGTAGTCCACCCACTGATATTCTGATCTACTGGGTCTGAGATGGGGCACAGGAATCTGCATTTTTGACAACAGCCCTCCCAATAATTATGATGTGGGTGATCTTCAGACCACACATAGGAAAGCACTGCTTTGAGATATGGAATTTTTTCTCTAAGTAATTTTCTCTGTCTGGCTTCTGACTTAAGTTGACCTCTTTTGAGTTTCAATGTGTACACATTTGTGTTATTTCCTGACTTTATAGGTTTCATCTTTTTCAGCTGCTATCTCAAGGTAAAATTTTAAAATATAAATTTGTATACCAACTTTTCTCCAAATGCTCTCAAGTTTTGTTATTGTTTTGTTTTGTTTTGCTTTTCTCATACTCTGTTTTATGAGATGGATTCTGAACATTTCATAAATGTCAAAATGAAAACAAATATGCACTTTATAACTGATGGAATATGGTAGAGAATTCAGTAATGAAGACATCATAAGATGATTAGAGTTTAGCTTGAATTAAATAAGGAATATAAAACAGTTTTAGGAATTATGGTTTTTGAACAGAAAATGAATGCCATAAACTTGGAAAAGGGAATAATAATAAATAAGTAAACCAGGAGTGGTGTAGGGACCATGAGGACAAGTGCTGGTGTTCTGATCTTCCATAGCAGGAGTCATCAATGTTGCCTGAAACTGAAATATATTACTTCAGAAAACATAATGACTCTAATCTGTCAATTTATTGTTACTCTTAACCTTAGAGGGATCTTTTCTGAGTTGGAATCTCACTCTTGTCACCTAGGCAGGAGTACAGTGGCACACTCACAGTCACCCCAGCGTCGACCTGCTGGGCTCCAGCGATCCTTCTGCCTCAGCCTTCCACGTAGCCAGAACTACAGGCATGCGCTACCACACCCAGCTAATTTTTTATTTATTGTGGAGATGAGGTCTCACCAAGTTGCCTGGGCTGGTCTTGAACCCGTGGGCTCAGGTGATCCATTTGCCTTGGCCTCCCAAAGTACTGGGATTGCCAGCTGAGCCACCAAGCCCAGCCCTTAGAGGGATCTTGTAGGAGATATTTCTTGTTGTTGAGGATACATTTACATTTGAAGTTCAGTAATTCCTCCCACTTCACTTTTTGTTTTTCTTTTGTTAAATTTAATTTTAAAGTACTTTGTATACTTTTTTTTAGATTAGAAAATATAGTTTATTTAGAAAGTAAATGAGAGAGAGAGAGAGGAGATTTACCTCCCCAAGGTAGGAGAGAGAGCCAAAGCTTAGGAAAACATGACTGGCCATAGCTCAAAGAACACATGACCAGACCACAGTTTAGCAAAGCGACAATCCATTGTATACTTTTTATTTTAAAATAGTATAATCCCATTTTTTTGTTTATCAGTTTTATCTATACATGAAAAGAAATCTGCAGTAATGTTTATATTAATGAAGGTTATTCTGAATGTTAGGGTTTGGCATACTTTAAAATGTTAATCTTTGTATTTTTCTACAGTGTTTGAATTATTTATGATATTTATTCATTATGTTCCAATGATGATTTTAAAAAAAGACTAGAGTCAGGCATGGTGGCTCAAGCCTGTAATACCAGCACTTTGGGAGGCAGAAGCAAGAGGATTGCCTGACTCAGGGATTTGAGACCAACCTGAGCAACATGGCAAGACCTTGTCTCTACAATAAATCAAAAAATCAGTTGGGCATGGTGGCACATGCCTGTGGTTCCAGCTACTTGGAAGGCTGAGGTGGAAGGTTCACCTGAGTCCAGCAGATCGAGGCTGCAGTGGCCATGAGCGTGTCATTGCACTCTAGCCTGGGCAAAAGAGTGAGACTCTGAATAAAAAAAAAAAAAAAAAAAAGACTAGAAACAATATGCTATGATGTTAACAGTAGCTAATCCTAATATGAATAGTTATTGTTTCCCCATTGTTCTCTGATTTTCAAATTTCAATGGACTGTTTCTCTCCCTCAAATAAAAACCATAGAAAAATTAAACAGATATCAAGATACATCTTTGGGCCAGACGTGGTGGCTCAAGCCTGTAATCCCAGCACTTTGGGAGGCCAAGGTGAGAGGATTGCCTGAGCCCAGGGGTTCGAGACCAGCCTAGGCAACTAGACTTCACTGCTACAATAAATCAAAAATTAGCTGAGCATGGTAATACATGCCTATAGTTCTGGCTACTCAGAAGGCTGAGGCGGAAGAATCGCTGAAGTCCAACAGGTCGTTGCTGGGGTGGCTGTCAGTGTGCCACTGCACTCCAACCTGGGCGACAAGAGTGATACTCCAACTCAAAAAAAAAAAATAAATAAAAATACATCTTTGTTATTCTGTGGCATGGTAGCCAAGCATAACTAGTAGTAATTAAGATGTCTCTTACTAAGTGAAATAAAAACTTTTGTTTTATTTGTATTGCTCCTACTTATCCAAAATAAATTTTTCTTAATACCATAGCAGCAGCTACCATTTGTTGATTGTGGGTCATGTACTGAAGTACCTTGAGGTGACGGTGAAAACAATTGAAAGTACCTACTCTGAGTGGGTTCAGTATTCCTTTTTTAAAAAAATTTTATTTATTTATTTATTTGAGTTGGAGTCTCACTCTTTTGCCCAGGCTGGAGTGCAGTGGCACACTCATGGCCACCACAGCCTCTACCTGCTGGGCTCAGGTGATCCTTCCACCTCAGTCTTCCAAGTAGCTGGAGCTACAGGCACATGCCACCACACCTGGCTAATTTTTTTGTTTATTGTAGAGACAAGGTCTCACCATGTTTCTCAGGCTGGTCTCAAATTCCTGAGCTCAGGCAGTCCTCTTGCCTCCACCTCCCAAAGTGCTGGGATTATAGGCATGAGCCACCATGCCTGGCTCAGTGTTCTTGAAATAAGGAGGAAGGGTCATCTGCTGGGTTGCTGTCTGCTAGTGTAAATATGATCTGGAATCAAGAAAAGGCACTAAGAAGGCCTCTTTTAAATTTCATACACATGCCCTTTGAAATTCATAAATGACATAAGTGATATTAATGTGAATGCAGAAACCATGACCTTCTTTGGGATTGTTTCCATTTGAACATTGCAGGGTACAGGTCAGAGACAGAGAAATAAAAGTTAACATCTTTGATATGGCTGGACATCCCTTCTTCTATGAGGTAAGAAAGCCTTTTTGAGAAAACCTATATCCAGTATTGTTGGGGTTTAGGGGAAAGATCCCGAATTGTCTGAAACAATCAATATCCAAATCATGTGTAAAATTAGATAAATTTAGCTCACGATTGTGGCTGACCCTCAGAGCCTTAAGATACCTGTTAATCTTTTATGCTATCCTTTTAAGCAGGGGTAGAAATTTCATTGCTAATGTTTCAAACACTTAGATAAGACATTTTAATTTCAAAGGACTTTTGCTTTTCACTTTATACTTTAGCCCAAAATGTGAAAGAATAGTTACATGTGTACTTGGACTTAAGAACTTGGTGTGACTTCTTTCACAGCATGGTACTAGAGTGATGCATTTTCTCCCCAGGAGAAGCTGAAGCAACCACACTTAGTTTACATTTTTCTACTTTTCAATCCTAAGTCATCCAAAAATGAATCTTGTGGCCATTCTCTTTTGTTTGTCTTCCTTGCCTTTTTCATTTTCCCTAGGGAAATATATATGTGTATAAAGAATGTACTTAAAACATTATACATATATAATGCTTTATATTATATAATATATTGTTATATTATATATTATTATATAATAGTCAATATATGGTATAAATATATGCATATAATATAAAAGCATTGTATATGTATATTTTATATATAATGTTTTAAGTATATTCTTTATATACATTTAGAGTCATATCAGATAGTGTTTAATTCTTACATCAACTATCAAACTTAATTTAGAAAACTCAACAGAGAAAAAAATCCTATTATGCTCACCAGATTTTTGTTTACCCTTTTCCCTTCCCAGTGTTTCAGGTTCCCTTCTCTTTTTATTTCTTTTCTGTTTAGAGTACTTACTTTAGTCATTCTTTTAGAGTGTGTCTGCTGAGGACAAATTTTCTTAGTTATCCTTGATTGAGATATCTTGATTTCCCCTTCATTCCTGGATAATTTTTTTGCTGGGTATACGATTCTGGGTTGATAGTTCTTTCCTTTTCAGAACTTGAAAAATATTATGCCCCGCTGTGGCCTCCATAGTTTCAAATGATAAATCTGCCATCACTTGATAATTTTTTTTCCCTGTAAGAGAGTTGCCTTTTTATTTGGCTGCTTTCAAGATTTTTCCCTTGTCTTTAGTTTTTAGAGGTTTAATTATGATGTACATTGGTATGGATTTATTTTGGGTTTATCCTTTTTGGAGTTTCCTCAGCTTCTTGAATCTGTAGGTTTATGTCTCTTGCCACCATTGAGATGTTTTCAGCCACTGTTTCATTGAGTTTTTTTTCAACTCACTCTGTTTTTCTTCTTGTTCCTGGATTCTGATGGTTTATTCTAGTCTAACAGGACCCTGAGGCTCTGTTCATTTTTTTAAGTCTTTTTTTTTCTCTTTCAACACACTGGGTAATTTTTAATGTTCTGCTTTCTAGTTCAATAATTCTGTCCACTGTCCCCTCTATTTTGCTGTTGAGCCCAACCTCTAAGCTTTTTATTTGTTATTATATTCTTCAGTTCTAAAATTTCCGCTCTACCTATGCTGAAGGGGGTGGGAGTGGGGAGATAGGTTTTTTTTTTTTTTTTTCTGAGATATTTGGCTAGAATAGAGTGGTTATTGGCTCAGGTTTTTTTTATCTTGCTAAGCTGCCTCTTTCCTGTTCCTTTGGCTAGAGAGATCAGGCTTTCATCAGGATGTGTACTTGTTTGCACCTCTTGACATTTTTCAAGTTGCGCTTCTTTGCCTCCAAGTCTTGGATATACAAAGCAAAAGAAAACCCAGGGAACTCACCATTATGTCATTCCTTGGTTCCCAGGGTCTCTGGCTTGTCTGCTGTTTTCTCTCCACCTTTCAGAGTTTTTAAAATGATGATTTATTATTAAGTCGCAAGATCTTTACTTGTACTTAGCAGAAAGAATAGGGAAGAGTATGTCTTCTCCGTCTTCCCAGAGGAAGCAAAGCTTTTAATGGCTGTATAATCTTTCATCTACCAAAATATTTAAAATAATATTTAAAATTAATTCCTTTTATTTTTATTTTTAAAATTTTTATTTTAAAGATGTGGGGTATAATTCAGGGTTAGGCATACAAATGTTCATTATACAGGTACCCTTGTTGATGAGGTGTGCC